TCGAAGTGCTTGCTGCTTTCGTTGTGAGCCAGGACCTGCGTGGCTGCTCATGAATCCTTTCTGGACTGTACAACAAGTACTTCTGACTGTGTCTCACGGTCGTTCAACGACATCTCTCTAATGCGAGCAACAATAGTAATAGTGATAAGCAGTACGAATACTGATAATACGGAACAAATTACAAGGAATAGCAGAAATAGCAGCAATGATTGTGGCTTCTTGCATATGCCTGCCTGCCTGACCGACCAAGGAGGCCCAATGCCTCTTCCTGAAAAGCCTCAGCCCCTGCTTGCGGAGCTTAAAAGGGCCTTGTTCCATATTGCGGCTCCATTTGCCGCACAACTAGCGCTAGAAGCGGCCTTAACACGTTCGAATAGGTTTAGGCATTTAGGGGCTAGAACGGAATCCTGTTCTACAAAATATTCAGACCCGTATTCTACAGGCCCGCAGAATCCCATTGCAAACTGTACGTATGAACGAGAAACGTAGGTAACTCTCTGAGAAACGAGCCAGAACTCCCTGGAGGCCCCATAGAAACCCATGGGCAGCAACAACATGACCCCGTAGAACAGCACCCATGTAAACCTTCCCGATGCTCCACCGAAACCCTCTATTTCAAAAATAACTGCCGTTAAAAAGTCACAGCTCCACACGGTAATCCTTTTTGAACCCTTTAACAACCCTTTCAGAACCCATTGAGACTCCGTGTAGAAACCTCGAAGACAAGATCCGAGGCTGGTTCCCTCGCTCTTTGCAGCTCTTCCTCCTTGGCCAACTGGGCAACCTGCGCCTCAGGAGTCTTTCGGAGGTGGTTCTAATGCTGGGGGGCTTGAGGGCTTAGGGTTATAAGGGGAGCTGAAGAAGATTGGAAGGCTGGTTCAAGAAGGGCACCTCTGTGCGGTCAGGTGGGTTTGACGAGATGGGGCCCTGGTGGAGTCTGAAGGTGCGGTGGGGTGGGGAAGCGAACTGGTAGGCTTAGCTGTTTTGGACATGTGGCAGGGTGGAGCTTTCGTTACCGTGACCAGCCGAGCAGGATCACATGGCGATACCCGAAACGCTGGCACCATGTCCCACGACCCACGACGAGTTTATAAATGTGTGAGAGCAATGGCCATGCGGTCATGCCGGCAGCGATGCTGGCAGGGAGACCGAATGGAGCCTCCCTATCACCATGTCAGCCTCCCGTGGCCGTGTCAGCCTGAGGGTACGGAAGCAAAGCCCTGAGCCGGATACCTTGTTTGGGGTTGCGGGGTTTGTATGGCCTAGGTTTGGGTTGAGGCTGGGTGACGGGTGGCTTCGTGGCTTAGGGGCATGAGCTCGACGGTCTTAGACTTCGCGGTTTCAGGTTCAGGTCCAAATCCTGTCTGGTGACTGGTGCGAAGGGCTCTTATACTCGTGATCATCATCATAATCTTAAAAATTACATAAACATCTCCTGATCATAATCATGATACGCGAAGCTTCCAAAGCGAATCCCAAGCGCAAACTAGGGCTCAGGGTTCGTGAAAGCCGAGCCTACCTCGCGATGCTCGCGCATGACGTCTCGCAGGCCGGCAAGCTCCTGTCAATGCTCACAGTTTGGGCTTAGGGTTTCGGGCCTAGGGTATAGGGTTTCGGGCCTAGGGTTTAGGGTTTCGGGCCTAGGGTTTAGGGTTTTGGCCTCCTACTTCGCAAGGACGAACCCGCATGGCAAGGTCACTCGCAACTGGGACAAGCCAGCCCGGTTAGGGTTTAGGGCTTAGCGTGTCTGGCACTGGGGACTCCGTGGAAGGGTGTAGTGCCAGGCTGTGCCCAATCATCGCACGCACTGTGCAAGAAACCCCTTTGATCCTGAAATACAGGCCAGACGAACTCCCACACAGTTATTACGATGGCCAACGCAAGAACCAGGTTAGCCCTGATTCATCCCTGATTCCATATCTTGCTCTACTTCCCTCCGGCACTAGCCTCCTTGAGCGAGGCATCCTCTATGTAGCGGACCCGCTTCCGCCTCAAGATGCAAAAGGCTCTTCCTTTCAGAACAGGTGTGGTGATGTTGGGAACGAGCATAAGGTCTTGAGCGCCCTTGCCTGGCCCTTAACAAGCTTTGACCCCTCCTGCGCTGCGAGCAAAGATAGAGAATGAAGGGCGACTGCGCTCAAAGTGCCTCTGGTGAAGATTCAAAACCCTTCCACACGTTTTCTTCAAATGATCGGGAAAATCTAGTGAGGAGCTCTTATCCAACGCTAACCTTTTTTTGGTAAGCCTGAAGGTAACCCTTCTAGTTTGTTCTCATGACTAGTAACCCTTTTCTCTTCATGTAAACGTAGCAGAGCGCACTCACAATACTGAGCCCATGTCTGCACGATTCGGCGGCAGAGGCTTGCCATCTGCAGCCTCAGGTGGAGCCGGGGCTTCGTCCCAACTCGAGGCTGAACAAACAAGAGTTAGGTTGCTTCCACACTGTTTGCCACAAGCATAATGAATCACTTTTCGCAGCCGAAATCGACACATCTCAGTCGGTGAGAGGAGACGGGTGAAACCTTGGCATGGGCTCAGGCATTCTATTTTCTTAACGGCTGAGAAGAGTGTCGGTGCGGCACATGCGCTCCAGTTGAGGATAGGGGGTGAACCAAAGGGATCGCACTGAAACTTTGTTAGAGCACTCGTTCATGCTCCGATCTGGCTCTGCACCCACTCGCAATGCCATGCGTAAGGCTGGGCTTCATTTTGCCCTTGCACCCTTTACCAGACATTTGTGGCTGCTGTAGAATGAATGAATGAGTGCTCCGGGAACACCCCACCAAGCCCCCTAAATCCCAAGACCCAAAACCATGTAAACGCCCCACCCGAGCCACGAATCGTCGAGTCACGACAGCCTGATGAGCCCCCCCTTTGCTTCGGCACAAGCTCAAGCAGTCAAACACCGCACAAAAACACGGATGCCACACAACGGACCGCCGGCTGTGTACAGGATGTCCCCATAAGACAGTATGAGATCGTCTTCACGGGTTTCCGCTGCATGGCATGGCATGGTGCGGGGCTTGGCTCAGAGCCGTATGAGCCCAGCAAGTGCCATGGTCCAAGGACTCATTTCTAATTTATGCACACTTGCCAGTCGCATCTGAGACCCCATACCGTGGCCAGGGGAGCCAGGTCGTTGCAAGTGGGTCTAAGTCTCAGGTTTGACGATGTTTCGACACCCGCTCTCAGGACAGAAAGCGTAGTGCGCTCACAAGTGGTTCGCCACCTGTCGGTTCACGGAATCCGGAAGGCGCACATTAAACTACAAATCGGCGGCCAAGGCGCCGCCAAAAGCAAGCAGTGCAATGTAGGGGCATTAATATGTAGAATAGGGTTTCGGGTATTACAGTATATTCTACTCTAAATTATTATAAGGAACCCAAGGAATAAGATTGATAATTGCTCATGCAGCTACTTTCCTTTTCTGTGTAGCAGAGGCAGATGGCTATCTGTCGCAGAGTTCTGCGAAACGGTTTACTCACCGGGCTACCGTGCTGTCATGACATGCCGCACAAACTCAACAATACTTAACCTTGGAATCCAAAGCATTTTGGTAAGCTCAATGATGCTCAGTGATGCTCTCCCTTCAGTACTGGCCTGCTACCATTTCCTTTGGGAAAATCCTGTTTGTCTACTCCTCCGGCTTGTAGGGCTCGGCTTCAGCCACCATCCTAACATCATCCTGCCGCTTCTAGCTTCTCTTTATGAACTAGCCCCCGTCCTTGTTGGTGCGACCACGGATGGCCACTTTGGGAAACCACCTGGAGCCACGTCTCGGGGCAAGGACGCAGGTCAGGTCAGTCACCTCTCAACCTAACGAAAACCATGCTTCATACAACGCTCACCGTGTGATGATAATCTCCGTCATGATGCTAGAATGGCACTGATGAGTTGATGGCAACCAGTGGGACCAAAATGGATGATGAGAATTATGATGGCGATGCCCTTGACCGCCCGGTAGCTCGCTAGCCTTTCATGCAGCATCGAAGTTCAGCTCAGGGTCTGAGCACATGGGTGGGGCCATTTTGCTGCCGGCCTCTGGGTCATAGCTTGTGCTCTCGGGCTTGTTGTGTTTGTGGAGGGGAAAGATAGATAGATAGATAGATATATATATATATATGTATGTATGTATGTATGTATTTATTTATTCAATTATTTACTTAGTTGTTTGTTTGTTTTTTCGGCAGCTATTGGCGATTAAGGATAACGGATTTTAGCTTTTGCATCTCAGTAGCGCCCTCAGGGTTCTGCCAACAGTCCGCGCTTCTACGATTTCAGGGTCTTGGCTAATCTTGAGGCGGGCGGGATGTCTCTGAAAGCCCTGCTATCCAAAGCCTGATCGCAGAGGCAGGAACCCGGGGCGCCTACGAAAGCCCTTTTACGAGCAGGGACTGCGATGCAATAAGCCCACGCCGAAACTCAAGTGCCGCTTCAGCTGAGACTGCTCATGATCCCGCTGGTAGGCCTTTCGGAGGCTATTGATTGACTCGATGCCCCCGCTTCCACGTCCCCTCCTGGCTTGTGGCTGGGGCGTCGAAGCTGCAGGTGTCCGGGCTACGCGGTTGAAAGCTCGTGGTGGTTTACACTGAGCTAGATTGGCTTCTCTCCGCCGTGCCTCTAGGGGCTCGCTAGTCCAAGGAAACGAATCTGCACGCCGGAAATGGCTGGAACATCAGCACATGGGACGTGTGCTCAGCACGGACTTGTATGCTCGATTCATTCTGTGCGTACGAACAGTCAACGGGACGGTCAACCGTCTGGCAATGATGACGGCTACTGCAGCAGAATGTGGCACAATGGATCCGTTTTCCAAGAATGAAAAGTCTTCTGTAGGCTGGCAAGCCTACTTTGGCGAGTGTTGTGCATCCCAACGGCCCACTCCAGCACAGAAGCCTGTTCAAGCACCTGCACTGGAGGAACCTCCAACTGTCTCGTCAAACCTTTCCCAAACAAGAAGCCGCCGATTGACATACTTTAGTACACTATGCTATACCATGCTATGCCAAAAGATGCCACAAGTATACGAGTGCCTCCTCCGAGCAGTGCCGTCGAGTTGCACGCCGGGTGCCGTCCGTCTCCGTCATGACCCCTTTGCCGTTCATCTCTCCAAGAGCCCATTGGCCCTGGAACCAAAAAGAGAGTTTCAGCACTCACACTCCGACATGCCGAGGGCGAGGGGTACCAGTTCGTGGGTTTAGGGTTTAGGGCTGAAGGCATCTAATTTAGGAGCCTGAATAGGGGTATTCTTATGGCATAATCAGAGTAAGGAGCCCTGGGGTAATAGTAATAACTCAGGGGCCGGGGCCTGCGTACTTGGAGTAGAGTTCCTTCCGCTTAATATAGAGGCCTTAATATTACAATAGGGTTTTGGGTGAAATCATTACTGTTCTTCAACATACGGAGCATTAAGTAATAAGGAATGATATTTGTAGTTGTTTGTGCTTCTATACGTGAGCGCACTTCCAGGACCCGTTAAGCAGCTGGTGTGGCGTCTGGCTTCGGATGCTGACAACGGAATCCAGGAGCTTGCATCCCTGGAAAAAAATATCCAAAAAAACTGGATTAACTATCCAGCCATGCTGAGCAACAGTATTATAAAATCTGCATTATATGCATGTGTAAACATGAGTAAGCTCTTGTCCCAGATATGCGCCAGATAACCTTTATGCCTCACTCGCTCAGGCGTTACGAAAGAGTTCCCCGCCCGCTTGGAGCCTCGAACTTCCGGCCGTCTGGCCACTGGAGCGTGCCCTCGCCGTGCTTCTGGCTCTTCACATAGGAGCCTGTAGGCTTTGGTTTGGACTGGGTACACTTCGCGGCTTGGGGTTTGCGGTTTAGGGCTACTCTGGGTAGGTCGTAAATTGCACCGAAGAGCAGTGCATGAAGCACGAGGAATGTAAAGTAGAACTCCCGACGAATTTTCATGTGGATCCTAGTTCTGCCTAGACGCTACATTCTGCGAGTAACTCGGGCTGGCTGGCTTGATCAGCAGTGCACAATCTGGCAAGCGGTGAGTTTTCAGTGGTGTTATTGCTACACCTCAACTAAACATGAGTCACTGTTGGGAAAAATGCTGCAGGCACGGCCGTCGAAATCCAACATCGAGCGTAGCAGGGTTTAGCTTAGCCCATTTTTAGCATTACACATCAGTTTGCTAAGCTTGTTCGGGGCTTGAAGCAAGACGCAATGTGACTCGGAAGAGTCCTGGAGCCCTTTTCTGACGGAGCCTCGCCGTGAGTCGACTCCAGCAAAACCAGGCTTCCCGAGAGACCTTTCAACCCTCCCAGAAGATACCAAGCAAAGGTGCCACATCGACCCGGCCACATCGAAAGAGCTGTCTCGGAGCCTGGTGCAGTAGAGGAGCCTTTGTAAACGCGGCCATCCGGGTACTTGAACACACCGGTGCCTTCCATCTGCTGCTTGATCCACTGACCTCTCGACAAACAGCTGGACCGTCTAAGTTTTCTGAGGATTGGGATCGAAAGCTTCTTCTTGTGCCCATGGTTTCGGGATGGTCTTGGATCAATGAGAATGAGGCTCGTGTTATTCTCTCTCTGTCTCTCTCTGCCGTGAAAGGGGGTCGTTTAGGGGCTTCTTTCTATTCGAGCTGAACAATCTCACACCCCACAGTTGCACCTATGAAAACATGCAGGAACATGTGAACTTGGCAGCTTCAGCCCTGCCGGCCTTCATAGACACAGCCATCGGGCCAAGTGTAGGTGCCTTGACCGTGTATATCCTCAGCCGATGAGCTCAGGTGCCACCCTGAAAGCAACCCAGGGTGTAGTGAGGGTTCAGGGCTTAGTTCACGGTCACATGAGACCAGGCCCTCACCGACCCTAGAAATTCCTATGTTCGGACCCTCCCTCGAGGTCCGGGGGCTCGGGCATGCGACATCTGGGGGCCTCAGTTTTTCCTTTGAAAACTCGGGAATCTGAGCCTTAAACCCTTTTCCCACAGGCTTGAACTGAGCTCGCCCGGCCAAGTCCCTCGCAGCACATCGCACTCGTGGCGCTAAACCCTTTTTTTTTTTGAGCAGGGACTGCAATGCACTAAGCCCCCTAAACCCTAAATCTGAGCCTTACTCCTGCGGCCATCGCACGTTGTCCAGGAAGTCGCCCTCGAAGAAAGACCCATTCGGCCAGGTGTACTTGCCCCGACCGTTCTTGCGGCCGTTCAAGTACTGACCTGCTCAAGTTATACGTGATAGATTACTACGTTTATCCTCTTGTGTTATGCTCGGTTAGATTGGAGTGGTGTAGAGCAGAGTATAAGCTTCATCCCGGCAAGTTCAGGTACCCTATTTTGCCTTCTATGGCTTTCGTGGCCTGAAGGGTTTATAGATGATTCTGATTCCTGAGACCCTTTTTGCAAGGGTGGAGGGCCATAAAGAACAGCATCCGAAGTCCATCTGCCGCTTCTACAGACTGTAGACTTCCAGAAGCCTGGCCACCAAACCAACCCACCGTGGGCCTGTATAGGCCGCACCGTCTGACCACACCTGCGACGAAGCAGCACATCCGGTCAACACAGCTTCTCGGAGGGCATGAGAAACGGTCTTAGTGACTTGCAGAATCTGCAGCACTATCATGTGCTTCAGTTTGTGTCGGAACCACTTGTCGGAACCCTTACACACACAACCAATTGTCGGAACCCTTACACGCACAGACAGCAGCAGGATTTGGAGGCAACGATGCGGCTGGGATGTAGCGAAACGTCGTGCTTAAAACGCGCTACAAGTTTAGGAGTTCGGGCAAGGCTTCAAGACTTGGATATTAGTTGACTCTGCCCTCGCCACACGGCTCGCTGCATGACGCAGGGAACGTCTGAACATCATTTGATCCCTTGGCCTCCGTCCCCTGTCCGTTCTGCAGGTCGTGCTTCCACAGGCCGCTATACCTCCCACTGGCCGATGGCACAAGGGCGAGGGCTCTGCGGTTTTGAGGTTTGGCTGAATTGGCCTCTTTGTGAAAAGGCCTTGTGACCTCGAGGCACCCACCCACAACGTCTTGTGCGAGCATGTTCAGTGCATGATTGTGGGGCTGAGTGTATATATGTATGTATGTCTGTATGCATGCATGCGTGTGTGTCTGTTGTTTACGTGTGTATGTGTCAATGTATGCATGTATGTACATGCTACGTACTTATGTACGTATGTATGCATCTGTGTATGTGCATGCGTATGTGTGTGTGTGTGTATGATGTATGTACACAATAACGTGCCACTACTACAGGTCGGCTTACACAACCACAACACCCACATGATGCCAACACACACACACACATACGCACATACACCCGGACACCCACAAACTAGTAAGAAGTCAGCACAGCATGAGTCTTATCCCAACTGGACCAAAAGCCGAATGGCGCAAAGAAGCTTTGAAGAAAGGCCCTGGCCTGGATCCGTCGCTGTGAACGTAGGTTCCTTCACCGTGCCTGAGATATGCTCTCTTATACTGTATACAACTATGTTGTACATTGCACCATAAGCTGCTATTCGCTATTGTAGTATAGTATATGGCGTCGGCACGGGTTTCGGGTGCCTCAGTTCGACTCCCACAGCATAAGGAAGGTTCCTGGCTCAGCACTCCAGACAGTTAGGTGGTTTTACATTGGCTTCGAAAGGCGCAGGAGGGAGGAGCAGCAGCAGCAGCAGCAGCAGCGCGATCAAAGGGTAGCAACCAACGGGCGCCTCTAGAATATGTCAGATTTTCGTCGGTATGGCCTCCCTGTCTCTGGCACTCGACATCTAGGGATGCACCGCTTGTGTTGAGGCGTTGCTCCGTAAGAGGTCCCTGTCTCTCTCACACACCAACTGCGGTGCAAGGGGCTTCATGCTGCCTTGCCATGCGCCTTCATAGGACGCACCGTCTGCATGTTGAAGGCGCCCGCTACCATGTGCCTGGTTCAAACGGCTTGAAGCAACCGGTATCACGGCTCACTGTCACATGGCGAACATCGTCAGCTAAGACCCAAAAGGACATGAAGTCTGTTTGATCTCTTTCGCAAACAGACTTCTCAGAGGCTGTGTACCTCAGAAAGTTGCAGCTTGCCATTTCGTGGCCTCAAGTTTCCCTCCCCCTCTTCCGGTGCCTTGTCATCCTGCCAATTTCCTGGTGGAGGGCAACGCGCGAGGAAACCCAGCACTGTACATCGTAAAGATATTTCGACTCACACACTCGCACAAGGCTGGCATGGCTGATGAAGGTCCCGCGCTTGCGTAAAGACATTTAGGGTTTACAGATAATGGTGACATAGTACAGTTTGCAACCGAGACTCTAAGATATGGTACCGCGAACTTCCGAATTTGTATACGAAGAAATTCAGAGAGAGAGAGAGAGACGTGTGTATATATATATATACACAACATAACTATACGTGAACTTCACGATCAGTCTCATGATATGCCCTGGAAGCAACAGCTGTCGATCCCTGGCCTCCTCCAATGCAGCAGAAAACTCCCAAAGTGGCTGGGACACTTCTATGCTCTTGGAGCTTAGGGGCCTCAAGGTTGTGCAAGGGGTGGGCAAGGATTCTTGTAAAGGTTGCTGAGGATCTCGTAAGGGGCCTATAATAAGGATGCTATCAAGGAGCTGTCGGATTCTTATGGGGTGTCAGAAGTTTCTATATACGGATTGCTAGGAGTTCATAGGGGGTCTCATCTCGGGCATGGAAGGACATGGGTTGGTATGGGATTCGTGGGGTTTTGCAGCCGAATCCTTCGTTCGGGAGTCGCTACAGGGCTCAGGGCTGTGGCACTCACACTCGGACTGCCCAGGCGAGGCCAATGTCCAAAGGTCTGGCGGGGAAATGGAAGGCACCCGGCACTGAAAAGAAAGGAAGGAGCGAAACAACAAGGCCGCGGGGCACATAGGGTTTTCGGGGCGCCCTCTCGGACATGCCAGGCAAGGTTCATTGATGCGGTACTTGTTGGGTTTTAGGGTACAGCGTTTTCGGTTTTTTGCTTTTCTTGATTGAAGGGCTGGGGTTTCCTAGTCACAGACAAGACTGAGTCTTGGGCTACCGGGGCCATCAATTTGAGTAACCTGAAGTGAACCAGAGCCGGAGATCAATTCCGGTCTCCTTATCATACTCAAGATTTGGGACCCGTATGCATCCCGAAACCTCTCGCCCTCGGATCGACAAACAGCCACTCAAAGACGGAGGCACACCCTGTTTTGCTAAAGCAGTGCTCCCAGAAGTTCTAGAGCCCTGCATTGTCGGTTGACAGCAGATTCCAGGGGGCCGAATCCCAATCCCTAATCCCTAAACGGCCTTAAAGCCTTACAACCTCGGTGCTCCTTCGTAGGTGGAGCCGTCTACTTCGATGTGGATTCCGAAACCTCGAAATTTTGCTTTTCAGCTGTGATAGAGTTGCGGAGTGTTGGGGTTTCAGGGCCTTTAAGGTTTGAAGGCGTTTTGAGCCCAAGGAGGGCCATGATCGCTCTATCAACTCGGACAAGCCAGACAGCGCAAGGGACTTGGGTTTGCGGCTCAGGGTTCGGGGATTGGGGATCTTTGATACTCACACTCGGACAATCCAGGTGAGGTCCGCAGATTCGGATCGTTTTTGCGCCTCCTGCATTGCGGAACGAGTCGCCGCTAGGCAGGAAACACATTAGATACCGGTAGATTCGCATGCAGGATCTGTTCCGCGATTGTTGCCACAGTATGGGTTAGAGCTTAGGATTTCGGGCTTCCTTTTCCGGTCGTAGGGTTTTGATGTATTTTAAAACAGTATGATAAGGAGCCTAAGGAATAGCATCTCCACTAATTCCGACCCCTACCCTACAGTATCTCTGCCTGCCACGCGGCCATGTCTCATTCCATTCTGCCACTGGCCACCTGGGCTTCGCTATGCAGGCCATCTTTGGCCTAGTTGAAGAGCATCTTATTCAAAATGGACGGCGGCCGGCGTGGGCACAAAGGACCCAAATAAATAGCAGGAATGAGTTCTCTCAGGACGGATTATGACGCAAGCATCTGTTCTGCGGAATTTTCCATTCCGCCCTCCAGGTGTTCGTAAACAAATGGCAGGGCCAAGTCCTTACAACTCCGGCCGCAGAACGCTCACAGTGCATTTACCATCCTGCAGCCGATGACTGCATCTCTGTGACATTAAACCACTTAAATCCGTCTTTTGGCACGCCTCAACCCGGTTCCCGACGCTCACCAGAAACAGTAACCCGCCCTGATCGCCACCCCCAAACCACTGTTCAGTGCCAAAGCCAGCCAGGAGGGCTGTAGCGCGCCCCATCCTCGAAGACATAAGCAGGCCCCAGTGAGGCCAGGACCTGCCCAAGAGATTGCATCCAACCACCACGAGTGACAAGACTTGTGAAAGCTGATGTCGACAAACTCGCCTCGAGTATATTAGCGTGCTGTCGTGCTTGGGTGTAGGACTCTCGAAATCGAATGACTCTCCGTCCTGAATGCATATAGTTTCTGCAGCCACGGCACCTTTGCAGAGGGATTGAGGCGGTCCTGTGCACCGCATGGGACTGGGGAGGTAGTGGGGGGATTAAGGGGCCGCATTGCGAATTATCCCTGAAGCTTTGTGCTTGAGCTGCTCACCTCATGTCCTAACACCGACAAGTTCAGGTCTGTCATGATCTGCACTGCACTAGTGGGGCCGTTTCTCAAAACCTGCCTCGACCACCGACGCATTGTCCACTCCCCCTTTGGGACAATCGCAGTGACCTCATGCGATTCTTGTATTCAGCATCGGGCGTGGGTCGTGGGGCGAAAACTTTCGCTACCAGAGTCCTTGGGAGTACAGTAGCTAGTGCGAATGTGGGAAGTGTCAGCGGCGCAATCAAGCTCAGTTCTGCGTTCTCGGCTACTCCACCCGCAGTGCTTTAGAGGGGAGCTATGTGCATTCAGCAGAAGAAGTGGCATTGTTCACAAGAACCAGAGCTGGTTGGGTGTTGACATGCTAAGCCACTGAACATGATAATATACTACAGTATACTCTAGAATACTATGCTATACTGCTATACTATACTCTACTGCAATATAGAAATATAATAGAACCTGATATAAGTGTACTATATAATATACTACTTTCACAGCGAGGTATCCCTGAGGGTCCGGCTCGCGGAGCACTGCGCAGCACCCATGGCTCTTTTCGGACTTAACAGGCTTCTAGCTGGGACCCAGGGGCCTTCGGGGCTTTCGGGCTTCGTCTGCGGTTACTTTGAAGCCATATAGTACCAAATATAGTACCAAATGCTATAAGAGATGATTATGTACTATATTATTATATTATCATATACTGCAATCAACAATCAAAGCCTAGCATGGATACCGGCCGTTCCTGTAAGACATGGGAATCGAATTCTTGTAGCAGTTTTGAAGCACAACCTCCTAGCTCTGCAGTGGGCAAGGGCTGTTTTGGGACATGGGCGCGGCAAAAACCGGCTGCGCTCAGGTCGTACTGTGAGCCTGCAGGAACTGGCGACAAACGAATGGCAACCGGTGAAGAGCTTTAAAGATGCAACCAAAGTGGTCAGAGGAAGCCATGTCGCAATTTTTGTCCATCGGCGGGCGGCTCCCTTTGCAAGTCCCAGGCATGCGTTTGACTCTACGGCCACAGCTGGACAATGCGAAGCCTGGAGTCTGCATTCGGACTGGCCTGATTGCATGAATAGGCTTGCAGCTAGGAAGGGGGCCACTCCTTCCACATGCTGTCTGAAGCCTGGCATCATTCAAAATTAGTTGACTACCATTTTCTTAATTATTCGAATTACGACCCCACCGTGCAAAGCCACAGCCTTTCCCAGAAACGTGGATTCCAAGTTGCATTTGGCTCGCAGTTGATCGAAATGCTGGCCGTCATGGACCGGGTTGCGCAGACCCTCAAACCAAAACACTGCAATACGACTTTAAGGGATAACCAGAGAAAGGCGTGAAAGCCGAAATGAACCTTGCTCTGACTGCTTAGAATCCGAAAACTGAGGCGCTGGTGGGGCCGACACTTCTTGCCGTCAGCGCAGGCACCTGCAGCTCCCTGACACAGTTGGAAGCCGCACACAGCGGCGTCACTGTGACGGGTCTGAAGCACCTCCAACACGGAGTATAACATCTGGGCAGGTCGTCTGCTGCTGGGGTCAGCCGCCTAGGTGTTTAAACAAATCCGCACTGCGCAGCTCACAGCCGCACGAGCTGAGATGGCTCAGGCGATAGCGAAAAGTAGCAATATGGTCTGTCAAGCAATTCTCCGCCACACCAGCTTGAATGCGTAGCGATGGGATAGCAGCGGGTAGCAAGATTCAAGTGGAAACATGTTGCATCACGTGGAAACCAACTCACAGTCGGAAGCGCTTTTGCAGATGCTCAGGAATGTCGATCTCTCCTCCATGCTTCCCGTGGTCAATGGCCTGCCTGTATGCTATGAACAGTGTCCGAGCATCCGGATCACGAATTCCACGCTCGGACTCATCTGCGATCTTCTCTGCAGCTTTGTACAGCCTTCCGATCAAATCTTTTTCATGAATCGTCTCAGATTTGAGCATGTGCTCTTGAGCTCTCGCCAGCCATGTTGCTGGGTTAGCCGTGCCGCTCTGCTGGCTTTTCGGTCCAGTCTCGATAGTCTCTGCGGGCTCCTCCTGGCAAGGGGACACGGATGAGACGATGCAGTTGTGCCAGCAGACATAGTACCGGTCCCCGTCCAGGTCTCCCTCGGCAATGGATCCGGGTAAAGCCCGGCCCTTGCCGGAGAAGATGATTTCCCCAAACGGCCGCGACCGAAGTGCATTCCAGTCTTCCCAGCTCATGTCGCTGGGACGTTCTACTAGCACTCTCAGGAGCTTCCCATCTTGCGGCTCAATGCACGGGCATCTGGAGACGAATACGCTCGGCACACCGTCGGTCAAAGGCACATGGTCTATCAAGTCAGGAATGAAGACCTGGCCTTCCGGAATGGCAAAGCTTGGATCCGTCACTCCGACCAAAAAGGCTTCTTGCCTGGGACGCTCCTTCTCAAAGGCAGACATGTCGTTCTGCCCCACACCCAGTCCCTGTAGCAACCGCCGTACCATATCTGAGAGCTTCGGCCCCTGCTGCTTCAGCAAGCTCCTCAGCAGATTCCAATTGCTGCGATCCGTCTCTGTACTGCTTCAAAAAGCATGCAACCCAAGTTATGGCATGGAACTGAGAAACAAGCAGCTTCGTGCAACCCGGTTGCTGCGTGGCTTGCCTCTTCCTTGGTTGACACGAGACGCGATTCGGCTCTTCGACCAAGTCAGGAATTAGATTTGGGGAGTGGGAATCGAAGACCTTATCTCTAGGAGGTGGTGTTTCGAAGGGCGGTGGAGCTTCGACCAGACTCGCAACCTTGCGACCAGCCAGATGATGTCAATACACGAGCCAACATCGAGGAGTCAGGCAACCGGCCGCGGTTGCCAGGTCTGTTCGGCACAGGTGAAACTTGAAGAGCTCAGACTATGTTGCAACAGGGTCGTTCATACTCTTCTCCATACAACAAACCACCCCACCCCGGCCACCCCCTGTTTGGCATTTGGAGACTTTGAGGCCCATCCCAGATTCGTTGGGTAGTTGTTCAAGCCAAGGCTCTCTGTGCCCAGCAAGCACTTGGCAAGTTCAAAGCTCGTGGACGAGGGAAAAGTTTGCGTCCTTGGCTCCAAGCCTATCAGTATGCAGCTTTTAGTGTCTTGATTTCAACTTTGACACACGAAGTAGTTTGGTTCGTCTGTCTGGCTAGATCTGTTGGATTACCTCAACATCCCTCTACCACGAGTGCATGGAACACAGAAACGAACTTACGTGGCAGAAGATGCAATGTCGAAAAATGTGTGCACGTCTCGATGCTGCCTTGGTTCACCACAACGTAGACAAACCTTAGCAGGTCCAAAGGACAGTAAGATGCAGCCGCCCAAACCCGTTTCCAGCTCCAGATCAACATTATCTCCGAATCTCTGGCAAACATTGGCAAACCCTTCACAGTTTCACACTCCGAGTCTGAATTTTTGCCAAACATAAACCCCAAACCGTTTTGCCAGTGCCCTGCACGCTTGTATCCAGCGCGTTTAGACTGATCGCTCCAAACAGCTGGAGTTCTCGAATCATATGTGCAGCTAGTGCGTTCCTAGAATTCCTTTACCAGCGTGCGTGTCACTATGGTTCTTACAGTGAAAATACGTTGTGGTTTCTATCCTATATAATAAGTCTTAGAAATGAGTGTTCTACGAACCACACACAAAACCGGGCTCCATTGTGACGCACACTTTCTGTATGTTTACCATGAGCCGGAAGAATCGTAGATGCACATAGCACGCATCTACTCTGTGAGACGCCTTATGCAAGCGTGGAGACTGTTAGGCCGATTGGAATATGCAAAAGGTAGCTTTCCTTGGGAGCGGAGTGTTCACTAGATACTTGCTGTACTTCCTGTCAGTTTCTGAAACATGCTCCGGGACTCGGGCGCTTGGGGTCTACCAGGAGTTCTGTTTCTTCCAACGTTGAGATTCCTTAGCGCTCGGCGCTTCTCTCCCGCGTGTGCAATGGTGCTTGCAAGCTGGGGCGAGCGTCTCTGCCAACAACAGCATTTCGTCTGCGCATGTTTGATGTCACTGGTGGGTGTTGTCGGTTTTGCTACCGACCGAGCGTTTCTAACAACTCGGCTCCTGTGGACTCAACGACCAGAGGCAAAATTCGAACTTTCGAACCCCTTGGTCTGCGAAGGTGCGGGCGGTGCTGAGATACGTGCTCTGAGCTCTTCATTCTTTCATATTGAGAAGCAGCCTGCCGCTGCGGGGCGTACCGGTCAGGTCAAGTGCAGCAGTAGTAATTACCGGACAGCTTCACCGGGCCGCTGTGGGAGCAGAAGGCTATGAGTCTTCTGGACTTCTGGCCGAATCGGCGCAGTCCGCTGAAGAGGCCAGAAGGTCACCCAAAGCGTGTGCTTTCCTCCCCAGCTTCATGACCCCATCACATCTAAGGCACCACGCATCTGCTAGGTCGTAACTCATGACGAAAGTCGCACCCTGCAGGCGAGTTCTGGCGACCGGGACAGCAGATACAGCAGCAAGGCAGGCACGAGCCCTCTGTTCAGCTTTCGAGTGGAGAACGAGAACGGCACGAGACAGTGAGGTGCCGATTCCAGCTAGCAGTGTCGGAACGGGCAGTCAGCGCCCTCTGCTTCACGCAGTGAACCCTGCTCTCTACAAGCCCTGAGCTTAAACTTCACAAAGCCCCTTGCAGCGCCACCGAGCAGCTCATCGGAACACACCTTGGAGGGGCCCACCTGTGGTTTGCATTGACAACAAGCCTCCCTTTCAGTCGGACTGACTCTAGAAGCTTTTGTGTAAGTGTTGTGTTTCGCAACTTGGGTTCGATTTGCAAAGCCCACCTAGGTTTTGCAAGGGCCTCAATCTACGGATCCAGACTGTATTGCGCCAGTATCGAGGCTGGCCGCTGTAGTTTCAAAGCTACGGCTTGTTCGTGCAGAGTGCGACCGTTTCCCCCCTAAAGCGGGTTCGGGGTCAAGGGGCCTTGGAGCTCGTGTTTAAGATGTGCGATCTCGGCAATGCTTCTGCTTCCGCTTCTTGCAGTTTGTTCTGACAGGAAGTGAGAAGTGGATTTTGGCCTTCCGCATCGAAGGTGGCAGCTGGATCTTCTGAATATTCCTGAGTTGACAGGCATTTGACTCTCCGAGGTTCCCAGAAACAGCCGCAAGTGCGAAACCTTAAATCCTCCGAATCCCTGGGCCGAAAAAGTATAGTGAAGCGCCTCTGTCCAAGCGAGCCCTCCGAGATGGGAAGCAAGAAAGAAACGATCGAGACTCCAATAATAATGATAATGATAATGATAATAAAATTTTAAATGATAATATTAGGAAAAATATAACAAGATAATAATGATGATGATAACGATAACAATGGCAATAGTGACAATAGGACAACAAGGGAGCGCCTTGTTACCATGGAAAACTTCGGCGCAGCTTCAATCGTTCATGTTGCGTTTTGGAGCATCCAGCTCCATCACGAAATCGAGAATCCCCAAAGCCTGACCACCGCGCCCATTGACCGAGACTCCTCCTCAGCGTCAGCATGCCCTTCAGAACGCCGAGGCATGGTCCAAAAATCCTCACCTGCTCAAGCATGCGCATGCTTATGCATGCGCAAGACTTCTCTTGTTTTCGTGTCCATAAACTTAGTTGCATGCCTTTGTTTCTGCGTGCCATTTTTTTTGGACAAATACATCTGGCTCCATCAACCCGTCTGATGCTAGACTTGAGGAGGCAGTTCAAGCCTCCTCTGCAGAGGCTTGGAGAGAAGGGTTTAGAAAGTATATATATATATCTGTGTGTGTGTGCGTGTGTGTGTGTGTGTATGTATATCAACTTTATTCATCTATACTTTTTCGTATCTACCAATCTACAGAGTTACTATTGCTACTCATTATTGTTCTTATTAGTTTGACGTGCCGCAGTGCGGCGTCATCAGTTTCAACGGCAAGCGGGCCCGTCGTGCTAAATGGTTTTGGTTTCGTGCTCATACGCAGACACTCCAGGCGAGGCACATTCGTTTGCGCCTTTGGGAAGCGAGACAACTGAGCCAATCCCCCGAAACCGAAACCTACAACAGAATGAGAGCAAAACCAGTGACCGGGAGCGAAGTTTTGCGAAGACGAACGTCAGGGTATTATGGCTTGACATCGCCAGTGCCCAGGGAAGCTCGCACTTGCAGCAGCACCCTCCCCTTCGACCTCGTACATGCACCCTTTTCAAGAGTGGCCTGGATGGAGGTGATTCTGTCTGCATTTGGTCTCCCTGCAACCAGTCCGTACCTCAGTGAGCACATCCTACGTATCAAATATCTCAAGAATTACGCTTAGAGGCTCGGGCACAAGAAAACGGTTTTTACCACGATCAACTGCGAAAGACGAACCTTCTAGCTCGCCTTCTAGGCAGTCGTTAGCGCTTTTCAGATGTTCCACCGGCTCCTTCCGCAAGCTCTTTCTGTCTCCGGCAGTCTTCCAATATTCTCCTGTCGGCTCAGGGTTTGGTACCTCAAGGTGCGTGGGGCACAAGACCCAACAGGCAGCACCCAAGTCGTTGCCGAAATGTGCACGGCAGTTTCCCACCAGCACGAACAGTTCGAACCACGACTCCCGCATCCACTGGACCCCACGAGGCCACGGCGCGACAAACAATGAGAAGAAGAAGGTTCACAAGGCGGGCGTCACTGTGTTTGCAGTTGGCTGATATCTTGGCTGGTATCATCCTTCCTGCTGGTCACTAATTACTGCGTTCCTGGTCCTTGCTCTTGCCCGTTCGGTGATGCTTCTATTATACTTCCATATCTGAAGGTTTGCCCCGCTTGCTCAGGGTCTGCAGATGAGTGCACTGATTGTTTGCCACCTGTTGCTGGTAGGTACTGTTAGTTACCAGTACTGACTGAGCTACGAATTTCCCTTTCTGCTGCGACTACAGCCGAAACAATGCTACAAATCCCAAGTTTAGTCTGACGACGACACGAGGACCACGGCGACGGTGAGTGCTGCCGCTACTACTGCTGCTACTGCTAAGATCGCTACTGCTGCCGCTCCCTGGACGACATCGACGACTACTACGAATACTACTCCTACTCCTACTCCTACTCCTACTCCTACTCCTACTCCTATTACTACTCCTACTACTACTACTGCTGCTGCCGTTGCTGCTGCTGCTGCTGCAGCGAAACCCTGATACTACTACCTGTGGATGATCTCCCCATTCAGTGGCATGATGTTGCACCGAGGTGCAGCAGTTCTTGTGGGATGAAGCCGCAGCCGCCGGACCTGAGGCACTGGGCCCTGATACTAACCTTTATGTAGGGTGTTAAAGGGATCTATAGGGTTTCGAGTTCAACAGGTTTCCCTAGTTTCTACAAGCTGTCACAGGGTTCTTATCTTATCGTCAAAGCAGCCCAGGCTAGAATATCGCGATTCAAGCTGAATAAAAAAACGAGGCTGCCCATCTGTCCGGAAATAATGACAATGACGTGGCATACTTCACTGGCGTGTCATTGTACAGGAACCAAGCCCGTGGCTCAGTTGAGGGCTGCGGCTCGGGAATATCCTCGAAGTGTTCAGCGGTCGACTTGTAGACGGTACCTGGTTCCATAATCGCTGCCCGCTCCCTCTACTTCCTCAACGTATGTTGCCTGTGAACCTGAGGACAGCGCCTGGGCTTTGCATAAGCTCCAGTCTCGACGCAATCTTGCCTACAGGCGGAGGTTTCATCGCTGGGGCTTGGCTAGAAGGGCTTCAAGCTGCCCCCAAAGAAAGGATTTCCAGCCGGTTTCGAGCTGCATGAGCGCGGAATGGAAGGGAAATCAGCCAAACGTTCAAGCTCGTGTTGAAGGGAGTGCTCGCCCTGCGCCACATACATCATGCGCAGCTTTTTCTTCTTGCCGCCCCAGAAGTGGGTGCCGTCGTCTAGAACTTTGGTGGACAGCAGGTGGTACTCCTGCCTTGCTGGGTCTCGATTCCCACGACAGTGGGTTCAACCGAACCAAGAAAGCTGAGCTGGTCAGCCAAGATGCCCCCCAAGAGTCCGCGTCGGTGTCGCTGACGGTGGATTTTTGATTGATCGTGATAGTGCTTCCTCCAGAGGCGGCAATCGACGTTGTCCGAAGTAGCAGGTGATGAAGCATTCTTCTTCCTTCTCGTGGGGTGCCTTCCGAACGGGTTGCTGCCAACACTCGCACGCATGAAGGCACGAGCAGGCTCAAAGTGCAGTCTTGAGATTTGTCATGTGGCAGTCTACCGTGCATGCAGGGAGTGCAACCCGGCATGCTGCCTGAATGGTGATGGTTTTGATGCCACTCCAAAGCCACTGAGCCAATGGTGCTTCTCCGGTGCTGTCACTTGGCAGAACGCTCTCAGAGTCGCCAGACACTCGCTGGAATGCTTGGCCACCTGGGCTGTCTTAGAGTTAGAACCGTACCAGCAGAAACTACGTATGTTGAACGCCGATGTGTTGCTGGATGCACTTCTACACCGAAAACTGAAAAGATGACTGCTTGCACAGGCACCACGGCCAGCTCGGCCGCGGTCAAAGGCAGTGACGAAAGCTTGCTTCACGCACGCCGTACCGCCAGAGTCCAGCTCTATGTGATACATCTTTTCTGTGATGCTGCTGATGGTGCCTTCCGGGGCAGGGGGTTGACGCCAGACTTGTCAACAGGAAGAACAGACCGTCTTAATTCAGAGTTGAAACATGTTGAAACATCTTTTTTTCCCTCTCGCATGGCTAAGGATCTATGCCCACCAGCGAGGAAAACTTTGAGTACATGACAACTGTGCAAAGTGATAAAGATCAGCCCCACGCACTCTATCCCGATTAGGACTGAGAATGCCCGAGGGTGTGCAAGGCCAGGGATCTCTACCACTACTACAGTCCCTGTCACGGGCACTCGCCTACAACCAAGGAAACATCATTTAGACCACTGGTGAATAAACTGCCTCCCCTTTATAGGGATTGCAGTAGGGATCCTGATGCGAGAGCCGTCAAAGAAATAGGTCTCGTTAGTCGGGAGTCCACAACAGAGACGATAGAACCGCTGCTTCTCCAGCTCTCAGTTGAGTTACTTCAAACGCTCTCGCCCTGGTTGTCCCGGAAGGCTCGGCTCTACAACATGAAAGACTCTCAAAGTGCAGCAGTCCTGGCCTGTTTCTCCTGAATGGCGGCCACTGGTAATCGCGACAGAAGTCTTCGGCTGCAACTGCCCAGTGCCCTTCGAGCTGTGAGAGGAGCCTTCACAGACTGGAGTCTTCGAGACGAGCAGTGTGCGGCACTAAACTGGAGAGATCCATCTAGAGCAAACACCAAAGCACGACGTATCTGTGACGAAGCTCAAGGGAACCCATGTTCTAAAAATGAACACACCAACCCGACCTTGCATGCCCAACACCTCGATGTCAATTGCCAATGACGGAGTGGTCAGAATCAAGGGTCTCGCGCTCAAAAGGCTCTTGAGGCTCCTAAATCCAACTTTGCTCTGCTGCCTTTGATATTTCGGCCATCGACTGACGTCTCTGGGCCAAGCTCGTCAGCGGAAGCCTGGGGAGGAAGGCAGGCAGGAGGCGGATCGGTCGGTTGATGGGTCGGCGAATTGGCCGGTAGGTAGGGTGGTTAGGTCAGGTTCGAACTTAGGTAGGTTAAGGTTAGGCCGGGTCAGGTCCTTGGTTGAGGTTGGTGGTAGACAAGCGGTGGTCGCTCTATCATCACTGCTTAGGATCTACACTGGCATAATTTACAGGAAAACAGGAACCGTAAAAACGTACCCGCCTCGGGCTCGCTCTCCCGAGCTTTGACATTCGTCTGCATCAGTTGAACCTGAAGAAAACCATCCTCTTTGGGTTTGGGGACAGGTTGGCTCTGGGCTTCTCGATGGGACGCGGGGTTGCTGGGTGAATGAGCGCGGTCCCTGCTAGCTAGTAGATTATCGATTTCCCAACAATGAGAACAACTGTGCGCAACCTAAGGCACAAAAATGTGAACCTTCTTAAACAATCCCGAGGATCCCTTGCACTACACTTTTCCGATTCGGGCCCGTAATGAGTAAGTGAAAACCGAATACGCTCTTCCTGCCTTCCTTCCATCGTCAAGCTCCACTTCCACCTTCTTGCTCATGACTTTGACGACGTGTCCTGCTACTGTAGGGCAAGCCCAGACCCGCTGCGTTTAAATGTTTGCACCTCCATGCACCATGTGTTCGCCCTGCTCTTAACAGGGGCTGCAGTGCCCGTGCACTGGCGTATCTGCTCTCTACAAGCCAGCGTCAAGGGATGGGAGGGCAAAACACACAGGTAAGATAACCCGAAATCCGGAAGGTAATCAGACCCTGCTCATGATGGCCTACTGGGATCTTGGCCCGTGTCCTCTTCTGCCTTTGTAAGTGCCCCCAACGATATCCACAGCAGCTTCGGCGCACAAAGAGCAGGCGGTTTCACCATGGCCGGCATCGCCTGAGCAGTGAGAGGATCAAGCCAGGGTCCTGTGGGCTCGGCAAGCTTACGACCTCACACCAACAGAAGCCGTCCATGGGCTGAGCTTTGGGTCGATGAATCAAGCCAGGATCCACACAGCCAACAACGCATGTCGCATGAGCTAAGCTATGATCATATTTGGGGCCACCGGCCTGTCTCGGAAGGGAGCTCCCCCGCCATTGCAAGCCGCTGCGAACCAAGCTTCTGTTAGCTCCCCCCTCTGGTCTGGCAACCCTTGACATCGAATCCCAGATGATTTTTGTTCGCGCACACGCCCGGCATGTATGTTGAGTCGTCTGCACAACGAGAAAAAACTCGTGATTGTCAGCTTTACCAGGAAACTTTACCACGCAGATGACGCCAAACCACTGTAGATATCAGTCACTTTGACACCAGCCCCTCCCCCCATCAAAAAAAGAAACGGCAACATGTGCAAGGATCTGCATTGCTAGAAAAAAAGACAGGCAGAAGCCGAATGCACGATTTTGGTTTGAGTCAGTGGCCGAGAAACACTTTCGGATGTGCTTTTGTAGAGTCCAACACCTGCTCTACACCCACACCCACCCCGAGCCCCAACCCCCACCCAAGCATCAAGTGTTTTCTGGTGGCGTCTTCATTACACTACAATAATTGAAGCCTGAGAAATAATTAATTATTCAGGCTTGTGTATTAGCACCTTCTGCGACGGCGAAAGGCGCGACTTCCCCCACAACAGCCGCATCTGTCACCAAGTAAGCTTGACATTGATAACGCCAATGCCCCGGGTGACATCAAAGGTTCATATCGTCTCTTGGCTACTTTACTACCCCACCAGAGCAGAGAGAAGCTGTATGCACCCTCATGTTGCTGACAGGGATTCGAAGTCCAAATCGTGAGAGTTCGATCCTTCGCTAGCAATGAAGACCCTGGTGAATGCCTGGCTGTCGCGAGTGAATCTTTCTATGCCCCCAGCCCTCCTATGACTTTAAGCTGTCATCAAGGAGCCAAAGATGGCGCAACATCAATCGGAGGGAACTGAACAGCAGCTTGCATGTCGAACCAAGCGTGCTACGACCATGGCACTTTTCTGGAAAACTGTTGCGGCACTCGGGCAAGAAGCGATTTCAAACAGCGGCCTATGGCCAATGGAACGAACACCCGGGCCAAGGCAGTCCTCCTTCGGAGGGTTCCTGCCCCTTCGAGTTGAGAAGGTGGTCCCAAACACGGTGCCTTGCTGCACAAAGGAGGTGGGGGGATAAGTGTATACTCGCTGCTGCTCATTTAGAGTGGGGTCTGGTACAGGGGTCGAGCAGGCGGCTGAGGATTGACACCTCCTTCTTCTGGCTTAATGTGGCGTGCCGAAGATGCTCCTGCAATTTTCTGCCGGATGACATAAAAGGTGAAACTGTTTTCTGCATGCTGCAGCCTGAAACGGGCATCCCAGAGCCAGGCAGTAGTAGTTGGTAGTCAGTAGTCGTCAGGCTTTAGCTGCGCAGTCCGCGCTGGCCCCCTATCCCAAAATCCCTTCCTTCCTTCCGCCTTCCCAAGTTTTTCCCTCTGGGCTTCCGACACCACTACAGGCAGCCAAAACTAGAGAAACTCTGAAAAACATGAATACGAATACCAGAATTCTGTTAAGCTTCGGTTCTGATCGTGATGGCGACAGCTATGGTGACATGGCATGGCGGAACTGCTGACGATGGTTCTGACTGTAGTGATGAAGGCAGCGGCACAGCATGCCAACAATACTGGCAAACAGCGACAGGAAAGGAACAAACACATGCTGCAGCATGATGTCCACCTGGCTCAGGCGCAGAGAAGGGCTATCGAAATTCTAGGGCCGCATGGCTCTTCCACCGATGGCACACCTGGAGCGACGGAAAGTGCACCCCTTAAGCCAAGATCTAAAGACACTGGCAACACCTAACAGCCAGAGGATATTACTGGGAACTGCACATCTAAATCTAAGTCTCATGGTACGTAGCATGAGGAGAGGTTGAGAATTCTGTTTCCCGATGCCGAGCACACTTCAAAGAATAGTGGCATGGTGGCATAGTCATAGCTCGTGGCAGTAATACTCTGTAGCAACATGAGGCCCCAATACAAGACCGCACCCAGTGAGCAGATCAGATACCGCTGAAAAAACGCATCCAATGATGCAACACGTATGCCATCTGCCAGGGTACACCGACAAGAACACATAGCTGCATTGATAGATAGACTGAATCTACTGAAGATCACGCAGACGCATGACATGGCAGACAAAACTGCTCACTGGCGTGGGAGCTGAGATCTAAACTTGACACCGGGAACGCATTGGATTCCACGTTGATCCCCCATTTACGTCCTTTCAAATCACTACATGCATATCCCTGCCAAAGGTGTTGGGGTTGGGCTCGGAAGCTATGCAAGGGCTCCGGCGCAGGGATTGTGACCCACACGAGCCAAAAGCCAAACGGACACTCAGACGAGAACTAAGAATCGAACACACAGGCTCCCAACACCCTTCAAAGCTGAAGCTACTGAATGAAACACCTCAAGAGCTATGCCCGACGCCTGGTGGATGTCATTCGGGCCAAATTTTGGGAGATTCCGGCCAACTCTGGACTACGAATTGTTGTGATAGTATGATGGACAAGGCTTTGCAGATGAGGATTGGGGCGACAAGAAGCCGTGTGGCTCTGTCAGGTTTCCATTGGGCCGAATGAGCTTGGGCTCAGGCTTCCAGCTAGTGTAGAAGCCTGAATTATTACCAACACTGTCCCCTAGGTTTCTAGTATGAGCATAGTATGATATACCCCCAAACTCTGTTCGAATTATTGAGACCTCTATTATACGAGACAGCTCTGGACGTCTCATCCCCGACAGACGGCCGACACCAAACCAAAAGAATCCAAGTCTCCATGCGTGTGGTTGTTGTTCCTCGGTGGCTCACGGCTTTGAAGGCTTTCCGGGTGGTCCCCTTTTCAAAGGATCCCCGTCCTGCAAAGCTTGATGCAGATTGCAGGCCGGCAACATGCATCACAAGACTCATCTTGATAGGAACAGCACCACTGCAAGCAGCATACCAAGGCAAAATAAGCAACTGCTTCATCAACAAGTAGAACGAGCATTTTCAGTGAGGCGCCATGGGGCGTTGAAGTGCATGGCGCTGCCACTATGCCTGGGGCAAACGGAAACGGCTCAAGGGATGAAACCAATGCATGCCCCAACCGTGGCTGGGATACATCCACTTGTAGGTCTTCCGGCCAGTGCACTCCTGGCGCGGTTCAGTACCCACGGATGTTCCAAGCAGGGACGGCTTAGCCACAAGGCAAACCACAAAACCGTCGTCCTCCCCGCACGTCTCGTACTTCGAGCGCGAGTCTGTGATGGTTTCACAGAGGATCTGCCGGCTGGAACCAATGGAGTAGCAAACCTCACATTGCAAAGCTCAGGTCCTTGTGTCCAAACTGTGGCCTGGTTGAGACCGAGGCACAGTGCCCGTGCACTTCATGAAGCTGCAGGTACAGTTGATGCCGCCCTTCTGGCCGGCACCGTAGATGTCGCGGTGCTGCCTGAGCTGTGCGACATTCAGGTTGGGGAATCCCGCCGTGGCCACCACAAACTGCTCACTGAAGAATCATGGAGAAGCTGTACCAAGCTGCTTATGTGACGACTTGTGGTTTGGATGAAAATTGAGCTGGATGGCCGTGACACCTCGGAAAACATTGGCCAGGTCAGTTGGGCATCGAGGAGGAACTCTGCTCACCTAAAACTGCCAGATCCCATGTGCGACCCGTGCGGCGGTAGCCATACTCCTGCTCAGTGTGCGCAACCAGCGCGCGGATCCCCTAGCAGGATGAAGATGAAGGTGCGAACCCTCGAAATCCTGCAGCTCCCAACATTGGAACTAAGGAACAACGAGCGACTTTACGAGTTACGAACGCCTTTGACAGGCGCTTTGAGTAAGAAACTGTAACAAACTTCAGCTGCAGCCTCGAAGTCCTGAGCTCCTTCTAAGTCTAGTAAGTCTTGTCTACACATTCTACACCGCGAGCGCAGACTCCCGGACTTCAAATGTGCTCGCTGAGACTGCAGCCTCTTGGCAGCAAGCTGTTTCACCCAATTGGCACCTTGCCCGCAGCGCTCTCCTGGTTGTCACGCTCCAACACACCGACGATGGCAGTCGGCGACTGATTCCTTAGTTGCCGCGAAATTAGAGCTGTTTCGGACGAAGCCATGAATGCATTCGGCCCGCTGCGGTTCCGAATGCAAATACCAACATCCACCAACTCAAAAACAAGCAAAGTCAAGGTGATCTGATACCTCTTCGGATCCAGGCCCTTGCCCCCTCGCCTCGACATCGCAAGAATGACCGCGGCTATTCATCGTGTTAACATATCAACACGAATCCCCTTTAGCGGCTGTCAGCATGTCATATTGGACTTATCTAGTATCCGACATGGCCAAGAATCTAAATCTAAACACCGCGACTTCCTAAGATTCGTGGGAAAAAAGCCCGACCACCCAGCGAAAAGGTGATGGAAATTCAGTTGTCCTGTCGGGTAGCCGGTCCTCGTTCGTGAGGAGGAACTTTCCACCTTGCACGAGTCGAAGAAGTCAACAACCCGAATAAACTTTCGGTTCTCTTGTACTGGTGCATCCCACAACCCAAACAACGAAGCCCTGACGAACCGGAAATCCTGCAGCCTATATAAGACCCTCCTTTCTGTGCTGAGGATCAGACGGAGCTTCAGCTCTGAAGGCATCGAGCAAGCATGCGCGGGGTGCGGGCTGAGAAAAAACGAGGACGAGGGTGATGATTTGCACGCATCATGACTGTATGAGGATTACCACCAAGATCATCACGACCATCATCAGCAGCAAATGCGTGGAGATCAGAAACACCTACCGCAACAACCGTTTCCTCACTGGACAACCCGGAGGTGGGCCATGATGCAGAAGAAAAGAGGAACACTTCGAAAATTGCATCAGAGCAGCCACAGTCAAAGCAATCACCTTGCAAATCGTGTACAGACAGACATGTAATGAAACACAACAAGATAATCAGATCATCATCCCCAGCGCCCAGCCGCCGGACTTCCAGACACAGCCCTCAGGCGCGGCCAGCGCAGCCTTGACCAGGGCCTGCTGAAGCTCGCAAAGAGTTGGGGATCTTGGGGGTTTAGGGTTTAGGGGTTTAGGGTTTAGGGCTTCGGGGTCTAGGGTTTCGGGTTTAGGGCTTAGGGGTCTTACTGTTTCGACGCTCACACTGACGACAAGGCAAGAAAGGCTTCAACGTCCGAAGAAGACTGACTTAGGCCAATGCTGCGTGACCTGTACCCATACATCCAACGAAGGAGTACAGATGCAAGGTATCATAGAATTCCAGTGAAGCATCACCGACAGCTTGGCAAACTCCGTCTATTTCGTTGTTTTTCCCTTCTGGCTCTGCCGAGGCTTCGAGCTACGAGGTAAGCACGGGAAACCCTGTTAGAGAAAGAGCGTCCAGCTGAGTCTGGACCCAATTAACTACTGAAAGGCCCAAAAGGCCAGGCTTCTCCTGTAGGCCGGCTGAGTTGCCCAAACAGACGCGGTGTGATTGCCGCTTGAGAAAACAAAGCTTTCTCACCAGAGTTTCATCCGTCTGCCGACCGTATCGTTAACTTCGGTAAAGAACCCAATGTTCTTGTTGTGGGTTTGTTGGTGGCTGACTTAGCCCCGCCAGGCCGCTTAGGCCATAATGGATTTACGAAACCAATGGTCTCCGCTGGCTGCCTTCTGGCTGTTCGCGCTCTTGGTTTAGAATATCAAGTCCCGACCACATGAAACGTGCCACGTCTTGAGGGCTTCAGCGTTTGAGGGTTTGGGATTCAGGAGGGGAGGCGAGGTGGTGAGGACAGGCCAACGAGCTCTTGTGCATTGCGCGACTATCAAGCTGGAATCCTACTTGCCCTTCGTCGCTCTCGCGCCCAGGCGGCCTCAGAAACCCACAGCCGGAAGAAGATAGATGCCTAAATTACGAAGTGCCATGTTGCTCCGCAGCAGCGAGAAAATAGAAACTTCCTTCTGATTCAACATGCCCATCTTGTGATATTGGGGTGCCCTGAGCCCTGGGGGGCTGCTGGCCTGGAACAGCCATTGGTCCGGCGCGACATGGCCTGACTACAGCGGGGTAGCTGTTTGGAGGATCCAAAAATCCCCAAATTCAGAGCAATTTCGGAGGGGGGCCTGGCTCCCTCCATAGCAAACATGCCACGCGAAATCCGCTCCAGAACGGTATCGGTGTTCATGGTTTAGGGCTTAGGGTTTAGGGGGTTTTCTATTTTTTGAGCGCCTTTCTCGAGGATTTAAGGGTTGTTTCCCTCCTACGTAGAGCTGGGAGGGCTTAGGGGCGTCGCATTCATGGAAACAGTATCTAAGGCATTCAAGCAGAAGCGAGACTTGTCGGTTGCCCATGCAGCAAAAAATACTAAACAGCAGCAACGGCAGCAGCACTCATCGCAGTAGCGGCCATGGGAAAAGGACAAGTACGGCAGATGGAGGTACGAGTAATGATGACAATGATCTGACGATAATGATAGCTGGCCATGATTGGGACAATGGTGGTGCTGATGGTGATGATGACGGTGGCAGCTCAATTGCTGCCACGACGATCGTCTCAATTCTCAGATGATCACCGAAGCGATTGTAGAACAAACATGAAGACAATGAGAGCTCTGAGACAAACACGACAGCTGTAAGAACAGCAAGCAGAATCTGGGGTAGTGCCTGGGGGCCTCTTGAACGCTAAAGCGGAACCCTGACGAATCCTGGAAACTACGAATCCTGCAACCTGAAGCCCCTGGAAACCCTGGATCCCTCAACTGTAAAACCCTAACACCCTCACCCCAAGATCCTACGCCACAAAACAATTGCTTCACCGAAAGGCCTGGGGCTACCCCATGAAGTGCATCTGACACAGAGTCTGACAAGACCTGGGCAAGAACTTGGGCACTCTCAAAGGGCTGTCGTTTATGTGAGTTGGCGATAACTATCATACTCATGATCGCATCAGGAATGCCAGCCCCCACAACAGCGAGCGCAACGATTCGGAGGGTTAGTTGACGTTGGTCTTCGCAGTCTCTAGGACTCTAGGGTAGGACCAGAATTCACCGGGCTAGGAAAGGCATTCTTGCAGAAACCAGCTAGAAAACGCTACGCTGAACAATTCTAGTTCGAAGTGACTCTCGACTACTTCATAACTAATCTTCAGGCTCGACACTGGCCAATCAGTCAGAGTACCATGTACGTCAGACGATGGACTTCAAACTGATCATCAACTTCCGCAGGCACGGGGAAAAATTTCCTCCCGGCCTCACAAAGCTCCCCTGGCTGTGCGGAGCCCACGTTGCAGGGGCAGTCCTGATCTTTTTTGCAAAGATCCGCTTGAGTGTTTATGGCTTAGGTCTTTTTGCCTCCCACTACGTAGCCACAGCCAGCCTGCATTACAGGGTTAAGTCAGTGAGCAGAATTGAAAGAGTCGACAGAAACTGGCAGTATTTGTCTGGCCAAAAAGTCTCTGCTCTGCGCCAGCCTGACACCGTCCATACTATACGGGAATATACGGGAGCGTAGCCGTGACCTGTACCGTTTCTACTGTGCATCCCAATGCCATGTGCGTCGCGCGAACATTTGTCCCGTGAGGCCTTCTTAATCATCTTGCTGCAAGCCTTTTCCGACAATGTTCCAAAACAATGTTGATCCTAGGCTCCGCGGAGCCGTCGCAAAGCTGAACCACCTCCTCAGCCCCGCCTGGTCTCGCAGCAGAGGCTTCTTCAGCTCTAGGGCACCAGGCACTAATGTCAGAAAGACTTGAGGATCAGATACGTCTGAGGTTGCGGGCTTCAGTTGCAGAGTGTAGGGGCAATCCTGGAGTTAGGTTGAGAAACCTAGTGGCGATGCTCTTCCAGATCTCGCAACTCGGCACGTCCAGAAGAGGTCTGAACAAAGCCCAGTACTGGCTCCTACTTCTACTACTACTTCTACTGTACTACTACTCCTTCTCTCTACTACTCCTCCTCGTCCTTGTCATCCTCCCGCCGCTGCTACTGCTACTGCTACCTACTGCCACTGCTGCTGCTGCTTGCTCCTCCTCCAGCCTGCTCCTACTGCTGATGCTACTGCCACTGATGCTGCTGCTGTGAATCAACTACACTGCTTGATGAAAATGCTGTACATTCCTGCTTGACCACCACGCCCCTACAAAGCTACCTATCTATACGCAGGACCTACCTGCTTAATCTCTCGCTCTCCCTGCCGCTGCTTAAATGCAGAATGCCGACACGTACATGTAAGCACCTGCCTGCATTGACGTACATGCAAAAGTGCTCAAATGAGATGCACAACGACTCAACGCACACCGGAGCCAAGGCACTTGGAATCGTGACGTGTTTCCACTTCATAAAATGGTTCAACTCCTCCATGCGAAGGGACCGACCGAACAGGTTCCTACATCTAATCTAAGTTGAAGTTCCTTCAGACATGCCTGCTATGCAGGCAGTCTGTGTCCCCCACGCCTCACACACCCGTCTCCACCCACGAACACACGTCTAAAGCCATCTACATTCTGCGGAGGATAAGTGTTCTGTCTAGTTTCTAGACTCGAGCAGAGAATTGGTTTGAAGCTGGTGAAGGAGTTTCAGAACTGCTGCGGAGAACCAGGCTCGTGGCCTGGCGGCCTAGTCTGCCAAAAAAACTGCCTCCAAGACAAACCGGGCCTCACTTGCGAGACAAGCCGTTCTGTAAGGCTGTAAGGATGCAGGATTCTTGTGATCAGCATGATCTTGCGTCGCAGTTCTCATGACCCTGATTCGGAAACAGCACTTAAAGGCTAAAGGCGCTGATTGTTATCGTACGTCTGCTCTACCCAGTACTACTCTCGATCAAGGCTTCGGGCTTCGTGATTCGACAGTCCTTGTGGGTCAAGAAGGTGCCCTCCTTCGGCTGCATTGACTTGAGCATTCCTTCGCTGTCAGTGGAAATCACAATGACAAGACTAACCACTTTTACAATCATCGGTTCAAGGGCCGAAGTCTACCGCTGCGTTTTGCATATTTTGGAATTTAATCATAATGCTGGTTAGAATCGGTTAGAAAGCATCTGAAGAGGCGTGGCTTGCACGGTCTGTCTTGGGGTTGCCTGAATCGTCAACCCTTGAGACGGGCTTGGCCCGAAACCCCGAAGGCCACGGCAACTACACCCCGCGACGCTATCCCAAAAAACTCAAGGCCCTGAATGAACCACGAGAGTTTCGGGATACAGACTTCGAGGAGCTTGCACCTGACAGTACTCTCCTAGTGAACGCAGGGAGTTTGCAAAATGTTGCGACGAATCGCCAGCCTACCAAATATATATATATATACACACACACGTATCCGTGTTTGTGTGGGGTCGCGCGGTACTTCACAAGCTGACTGTGCGGTTTGGGCGACCAAGGCACGGCTCGCCTGGTCGATGAGCGCAGCCTGATGCGGTAGCTTGGGGCTGCTCTTGGAGGCACTTGGAGGGTTTAGTGGTTTTGGTTCCCTAAACCCTTTCTGGGCAGCCCCAAGCTGCCTGATGCAGGGTTTAGGGGTTTAGGAGAATTGTAGGTTTTTTGTTCCCTCTGAAGATAGCAGACTATACCCTAAATTGAAATTCGGTGAAGAAGATATCACTAAGTTCGGTTCATGAGATATGTCTGCGTTGTCGGGTTCTTAGCTTCACACTGCTGCGCCTGATGACACTACGCACCCCCAGTCAAGCGAGGCCCACCAACCCGGGACATTATTGATTTACTACTGCTGCTTCTGGGATATCACCTCACCTACGGAAACATGGAATTTGGAGGCCACAGTTCATGCCAGCAGATCCCACTGATGTCCCCAGCTCACCAGGATCTGCAGCCTTCTGCAACCCCTCTTGCATACCGGCTGTCCTTCCAACATGAGCTGCTATGAACCAATTGATACCATGTGGAAGTTCATCTTGTTTTAAGTGTACCAGCATCAGCAGCACGGCCTGCGCCTCCCTGCTAAAGAAGCATGTTCAAGATCGACCGGTGTCAGGCAGCTTTCTTGTGGGCTTTGGGGTTTCGGTTACAGGACACGAAAGCCCCGTAGACTTTGGAGTCCATCGATCCCCATCTATCCCGGATCTGGAACATCCGTCGAGAAGAGCAACTCCACATCTCCAAACACAATAGATATAAGCACGATCGAAACGTGCTAAGCTCACCGAAACTCAGAAAGCGTCACAGATTGCCAAACTTGCTGGCACCTCGACTTTGCGCATTTTCGAGCGCGAAATCTGGGCAAGAAGGCTGGAGTAGCGGCCCCGCTCCATGGCGGATACAAGTGCCTGCCGGTCGTTCGAGGCAAGGCTAGAATTGTCGTTGACGGCATCGTTCGGGTGTTTCTCCGACCGGTCCGTGACGGGGCGTCTAGACTGGTTCTCTGCAAGGGCGCTCGATTGAGGTTTCAGGGCTGAGGGTTTGAGATGCTGTTTCTGCATGCCCGATGGGCTTCGGTCGATTGTAGCGAATATCCACAAGGAGTCGAGGGCCCAGTACACACATAGTCTTTGCTACGATAAACTATTTCTTCTGTGTCTCCAGACCTGATTAACATGCCGCCCTGTGGACCTGCTCCTGCGCCATTCTCGAAAGCTCTTTCTTCTTGGCGCGGCGAACTTTGACGGTCAGGACCTTGCAGTTCATTTCTCAGGTCAGAGGCACGAAGCTAAAATCCAGAAGCGGAACCTCTGCCAGCACCGCAACACGCCGCTACATGTAAAGCGTCCCACACGTGAGACCTACACCAACTGCGAAAAGTGTAGAGTGTAGACGACCTAGCTGCGGGCCTCAAGCCTCGACAGCAATATGAGAATGTGCAAGCAGTGACTTGCCGACTTGTCACAAGACACTCGGCTTGAGGCCCCTGCCGCCTGAGCACCATCGGAGACAGACACGTTGAGAACAATGCCTAAGGCAAGCATGATACCGATACCGAAACGCAAAAAGATACATCAGAAGTAACTCCGTCAGGCTCTGTAGAAAGGCATTTCACAGCCACGACCGCGTCCATACAACCCACATAATTACATGACCTCTGCTCGCAAGGATGTAATGAAGGTGGAAATATGATGGGACCGTGGAGCCTGCTCCCGACGCCCGGTTTATTAACGTAAATGTAAGCTGCCCGCAGGCAGCTCCCAAATCTCATCACTGGCTTTGGCGTGGGAGATCGGTCTCTCGAACGCTCAAGTCAACGACAATAGATACACCTATGTTGCCGCCTTATTATTGCAACAACATGTTATGCATACAACGGGTGCCGAAAATTGCGACGGAAGTCTGGGCAGCTTTGATGTGTAAAGCATGCTGATGATCCCATTCTTCGAAAGCGCGTCTTAGTGGGATTTGATCCGTTTGAGAGAAGCCCGAAACTCGAAACCCATGACGCGGAACTCGAAACCGATGCAGAGGAAGCAGGGTTGGGGGGCCACAGCAAGAGTGGATGCTCCTACGTTCTAGATTCTAGAGTGCATACATCAGCTTTAAGCATTCAGCTATTTGCCAATGGGTTTTGCTGCACCGTTCTCAAAAGGATTTCGGAGACTACTGACTACTGGCAAGCCTTCCCCCACAGCGCCCATGCCACTGCCCAGCTCCAGGTTTTCTGCGCCCGCGACCTGGGCTGGGATGGCTTACTTTGAATGCGCTATCTTTCTCGTGAAGAGACGACAAGCTCCTCCCAGAAGCATGCCAAGACTCAGACTTCTGCTCTTGGCACTTGAAGGCCGTTTCCTACCCATCGACTGGTGCCGATCAGCTGCCACCGTCCGCTGCCGGTGTGGGGCCGAAACAAAGTTCACCCGTGCGCCATCCGATCGCCCAGCCTCACGTAGTAAGTAGAACTTGCTGGTTTAAGGGGGACTGGGAGAGTGGACTCCTAGAAGTATCCCCATGTAATCTGGTGGTAGTAGTCCCTACACTCACTCCTCCACTCTCCCGCAAGCACCAGTATAGGGGAAGGCAGCGACGCTTTTTGCGTTGGCTCAACAGCCCGAGCCACGGCCCAACCCTGCAGCTCAAGGCCCAGAACCCCATCGTGAGCAACAAACAGAAAGTGCCGATTAGAGATGCTATCTATATATATATATATTTATATTTATTTATTTATTTATTGATTTATTTATTTGTATTTGTATATGTATATATATATATACATCTATAAGGGTTTCTGCAATCTGGAAGGTTACTAGAGGGGGTTACTACAAACCGAAACGTGGCCTCCACCTGCACGCCGAAGGGGACCTGAGGCAAACACCCAAATTCACGAAAAGTTCATGCTTTGCAGCTTGGCAACCCCCCTCTCTCCCCCACCCCACCCCTCAAAAAAAAACACACACACACACACACACGCACACACACGCACAAGCCATTCCGATTCTCGCAGGGGCTTACGGGTCCGGGGCAGTTTAGCTAGGGTTGGCGTCGTAGCAGTGTTGCTGGGTTTGCGGTTCCCCTCAAACACAGGCCGGGCGGCGGCTGGGACGCCTTTGACCTCAGCTTGGAGAATCAGATAGCAACGCAGCAGCCATCACACTAACAATATCTAACAACGGCAGGGCTTCACCAGTCATCCAGGCAAAATCATACAATGATTGACCTAATCTCCGTCTTCACCCTTTTGCAGCCAACACAACTATCGTAGTGGCCGCGGTGACGACAGGTACCATTGCTGTCACAATAACAACGACGACAACAACAAACGGAATACGGATAACAGACATGAAAATTGTCATAATAGCACGACATACAGTGCTCAATAGACCTGGTCAGCCCGCAGCAGCGGACATTGTGGTTAGCAGTTAGCATCTTCAACATGGAGCAATCACGCGCAATGATGATGCGTAACATCTTCAACATGAAGCAATCATATGGCCTGCTGGCGATGTCTCAGGAAGGTTTCCGAGCAAGCACATGAAGAGCAACTCTCTCTGATGTCATGATGGGCTTTGGGGAGTTGGCCCGTTTTGCTGAGCCTGCCTCAGGTGCGAACCGCCGAGCCAATCACAACAAAACCCCGCCCAAAAAAGGACACCTGCTTCGAAAGTCCGGCGGCACACAGCGATCCGCTGATAGCGCCCGCGGAGCGGAACTGGATGGAAGAGGCGATGCGGGATGGCAGCGGCGTGGGAAAACCTGCAGCTTAGGAGGCGCTCCAGAGGCAGAAAACGGTGCTGCAGCCAGATCAGCCCCACGAGCCACAGCTTGTCTCGAGCATGGTAATCACCCGGACCTGTCCTAGAATCCCAGAACCATGTTCATGTCAGATGGCCCTGGCCTCCAGACCGCGCTTCCGGCTCACCTTCAGTGAGCTCCACGGTCACCTTCACAATATATCAGTGCTGCTTGCCATCAAGCGGTCGTCTTCTTTCTTCCTTCTCAGTCGGTGCCCCATGAATGCCTAGCACTCCGGAGGTTCACGGAGCCTCACGGATGTGTACCTCGCAAACGATCAATATTTAGACACACTACGAAGTCACCATCTGAAGCAGCTGAAAAGAGCTGCATGACACCGGTATGACAGCGGGACGCATTGTAGACTGCTCGCACCCGGAGGAGATGATTCGCTGGAAGCGAGGAGCATCACTGCCCCAGGTACAGGGACGGAGTCCGACCAAGTATCTGTCTTCGTTTCCAGCTTCATTCCCATTCCTATACATTACTCCACCTTGGTTGTCCGCGCTGGCGACGACGGGGCAAAGGGTTCCGTTCGTGATGTCGTCGATGAGTTCGCGGGACAAGCCGGTGGGGAGCTGCAAAGACCAGGTCCACGAGTTCGTCTGTGCCGGTCGTTGGGAGACTGCGGATGCCTGTGGTAGAAGCCCACGGGCTGCACCGCTTCAGCTACATGCAAGCATTCCTCTGGTTTTCCACTCACCACGCTGAGACAGGACACTTGAGCAGGAACCCACCTCATTCCAACACAGGTAGGGTAGGACTTGACGCATTACCGACACAAACAATT